CCTTGTACTGTCTGAGCCACCCCTGTGAGTAGTTCAATGCCTTTCAGATCCATAGCAGGGTCGATGTCATCAGACATGTTGTGAAGAATGGTCTACTCTGGGATGACTTGTACATAGGATTCCAGACCCGTCTGCAGCGGGATCCTGACATATACCATCACCTGTAAGTCTGGAAACACCTGTCACCCCTGGGCCACTGTAGAGGATGCTATGTGTATATACAAGCTGAATCAATGACTATCTATGCCCCCAACTTCTGAAAGATACATGAGAGTTCTCCACTAGAGCTTCATTAGCTTGTTAGGTATATTAGTTTGTTATATATATTTGGTGATACCGGGGCTTGAACTCAGGGCCTCACACTTGCTAAGCAGGCACTTTCTCACTTGAGCCACTTCGCCAGCCCTGGTTTGTTAAGTTTTTAACAAACAAATCTTGTTAAGAAAGGATAATATATTTCCTGGCTTTATACATCATGTGAATGTGTTCCTGATCCCTTCTGGAAGTAGTTTTTGGTATAGGAAAGAAAAAGACATTATTAACAAGGAAAAGATGCATTTGCCAAAGAAGAATGAGGAGGGGATAATTATGTGGCAAAGATGAGGTCACTGAATTGTTGTGATCTCCCTTGTCACATTTTACCTGCATTCAACCCTGAGCATGAATTTGGTGGACAGGTCAGTTTACAGGAATGGTCCATTAAATTTCTGCTTGCTTGCATTTGGTTCAACAGTGCTAAGTTTTTAAGATCATATTTGGAATATTTGAATTGAAATGCCCCAAAGGACAATTTTCCATTTTTTTATTTATAAAAATCACCAAGGACAGACTATTTTCTAATCATTGTCTCTGATCCTCTGAAAATTGTGGGAATTTAATTTTAAAATTCCAGTCATTTAAAATATCTAATCAAAATCCACTGTCTAGTTTCTATTCTAAGCTTGCAATGACAGGCATTTATTGCAATTTCCTTTTTACTTATTTCCTTTTGAATGTTTTAAAATTATATTTTAAAAATTTAAAGAATGTGGAAGTATATAAAATACAAAGTAAGTATCCTCACCCAGGAAATCTCTTCTGTTTCCTGCCCTTCCCTCCACCCATTCTCAGGGCAACCCCTGATAAAAAGGCGGTGTGTCCCCTCCTGGTCTATTTCTGGGCACATTAACATTTCTCAAAAATATATTTGTTTTCAATTAAATGTACCATATTGCTGTTGTTGTTTTCAATGCAATGACAGTACAGACAATCTGTTAATTTGATATCAAACATTCCAAGTATAAATTCCAAAAGGGGTTTTGTATTCATCAATCTGTCTTCACTCTCTCTCAGGTGTTGGTCATGCATGTCAACCTAAAACCTTTTAACAGCTGAAAAACAATTCAAATTTTTGAAAAATTTAAATTAGTTTTTAAATTTATTTTTTGGTAGTACTGGGGGTTGAGCTCAGAGTCTTGCATTAGCTAGGCACTTGAGCCAGTCCCCCAACCCTTTTTGCTTTAGTTATTTTTGGGATAGGGTCTTGAGTTTTTACCTGGCATGGCCTGGACTGAGATACTCATAGTATGCTTCTCTCATAGCTGGGATGACAGGTACATGCTACCACACCCAGCTATTGATTGAGATGGGATCTTGCTAACTTTTCGCCCAGGCTAGCCTGGAACTGTGATCCTCCTGATCTCCACCTCCCAAATCCCTAGGATTACAGGCCTAAGCCATTGCACCAGGCCCCAAGTTTTATTTATTTTTCAACAGTGTATATACCTGACTTCTTTTTTGGAAAAAAAAAGAAAAGAAGAAGAACAACAACACAGTAATTGCTGAGAGATTCTGGAGATTTCTTTATGAAAATAGTTAATCTTTGAAACTTTTAGGAAATCAGTGTTGGAATTACCTTGTTATATTGTGTCTTGATAACAAAGGTCATAAGCAGAAGATGATGTGGTAATGAATCTTGGGACTAGGCACAATTTGGTTTATCTTTATTGCTCTAAACATTCGTCTCATACAAATAATGCATATCCACTGTAGAAAATTTGAAAAAAATTTAAATAAAAAATGAAAACCACAAATAATCCCATCACCCAGACAGAGTAATTTATATTTTGATATATAGTTAATCTGTCTTTTTCTATTTACAAGCAAATTTGCAGTTTTTTTAATAAAAATAGGACAATATTGAGCATGCTATTGTAACTGTGTGTTTATCATAGTAATTTTAAATCAAAGATTGATTTAATCAATCTTTGGTTGACTTTTAAGTTGTTTCTAACTTTTCAGTTTTGGAGATCAATGATTGGGCAGGTCAACATGTCAGTTGCACACTTTCTTAGTGATGTCCTTAGGGTGAGTTCCTAGGAGTGATGTTGCTGGTCCCAGTGCATATAAAGTTTAGGCCTTTTGCACACTTTGCCAAGTGATTCTTCGAAAGACAGTTCACCTTTCTACAAATAATGCTGGGAGTACATTTTCACTATACCTTCCTTCATTTAATGTCATGTCCTGATGTCTTTGTGTTTGGCAATATAAATCTACATTTTCACCAATGAGAGTTTCTCAAAACAAGGTTCATCATAAAAAAAAAAATAAGACATAGTCATTATGTTTTAGTGGACTAATCCAACATCCTGGAAATTCTAAGCTACATGAACAGCTGACACAGTACAGCAACAGTCTGTTTGCAAGAGCTGAGCACCAGGTACCAAAAGATCTTGGCAAAGGAAAAGGCATAGAAGTTTCCAAAGTATATTTGTTTACTTTATCTCTCTTGCAGCTTTTGGAATCACTTTCAAATAAAACTCCCCCTAACACCACCCAACTGGAAGTCATTCCTGGCACACTGTAGTTAAAGTGGACCCAATATTTCTCAGGTAAGTTTCCTGTAGGACTAGCAAACACCAGCCACACGTCCTATGACACACTCTTTGACCCATAAATTGCAGAAAACCTGACTGTCAGGAGAGTGAGAAAGAGGGAACATTACAAGAATAACACTGGAATTTAAAAATAAGTATATAAGGCAAATAGTGAGTGACTCTAGTCCAAAGTCCATAGATCCTTTGGTCTGGTTGTGGTAAACATACTACTAATAAACAAAGCAGAAACTTTTCCAAGATGTCAGTGAGGGTTCAGAACTAAATCTTGAAGCATGAGAAAAGCAGCAACAGAAGTGGGAGTGAGAAAAACTAAAAGCTGAGTAAGGCACAAACATCCCCTCCCATTTCCAGCAGAGCTCTTTCTTGTTTCTGGGCTGAAGAAGATCAGCTTCTCTGGCGCTAACCAGATTTGGCACCACTTTTTATGATTTGAAATATGGTTTTATTTGCTGAATTATAAAGCCTATTTCCACATGCATGTGATTGAAAGGATCATACACTATTACTACAAAGATTAAACAATTCCATGACTTGTATTTTTGTCTTTATATTCATTTATTCCACAAAATCTTATTTTTTCACATTTTATTATAATATGATAGTGTCTCTCCCAGTAGATACCATTTCTCTTATGTTTTCTTTTTTCTCTTTTCTGTTTTCTTTCTCCTTCCTTCCTTCCTTCCTTCCTCACTATGTGGCCCATGATGGCTTTGAACTCACATGTACTCCAGGCTAGCCTCACAATTCTCTTGCCTCACTCTCCTATGTGCTGAGATTAGAGGTTTACCTACCATGCCTGGCAATGCTGCATTTCTTAAAAGCAGAGGCTATTGCCAGAATAGCCCTAGTGGATAGCACAATGCCTAGCACACATATAATTTTGTTGATAATATACACTCAAGGAAGAAAAGAACAAATGAATTTCTGTCTCCCAGTGTCAGTACTGGTGACTTTGTCCCAGTGTCTTTAAGGGTCAAATTAGAATATCTTTTGCATTCCATTCAGTTTCTAAGTTCTTTGTTTCTTTTTTTTTTTTTAATTCATATGTGCATACAATGTTTGGGTCATTTCTCCCCCTCCCCCACCCCTTCCCTTATCACCCACCCAGCCCCCTCACTCTCCCCCCCCCACCCCCTCGATACCTGGCAGAAACTATTTTGTCCTTATCTCTAATTTTGTTGAAGAGAGAGTATAAACAATAAGAGGAAGGAACAAGGGTTTTTGCTAGTTGAGATAAGGATAGCTATACAGGGAGTTGGCTCACATTGATTTCCTGTGCTGTGTGTTACCTTTTCGGTTAATTCTTTTTGATCTAAAATTTTCTCTAGTTCCTGGTCCCCTTTTCCTATGGCCTCAGTTGTAATTAAGGTATCTGCTTTAGTTTCTTATGTTAAGGGCAACAAATGCTAGCTAATTTTTTAGGTGTCTTACCTATCCTTACATCTCCCTTGTGTGCTCTCGCTTTTATCATGTGCTCAAAGTCCAATTCCCTTGTTGTGTTTGCCCTTGATCTAATGTCCACATATGAGGGAGAACATACGATTTTTGGTCTTTTGGGCCAGGCTAACCTCACTCAGAATGATGTTCTCCAATTCCATCCATTTACCAGCAAATGATAACATTTTGTTCTTCTTCATGGCTGCATAAAATTCCATTGTGTATAGATACCACATTTTCTTAATCCATTCGTCAGTGTGGGGCATCTTGGCTGTTTCCATAACTTGGCTATTGTGAATAGTGCGCAATAAACATGGGTGTGCAGGTGCCTCTGGAGTAACCTGTGTCACAGTCTTTTGGGTATATCCCCAAGAGTGGTATTGCTGGATCAAATGGTAGATCATGTTAGCTTTTTAAGTAGCCTCCAAATTTTTTTCCAGAGTGGTTGTACTAGTTTACATTCCCACCAACAGTGTAAGAGGGTTCCTTTTTCCCGCATCCTCGCCAACACCTGTTGTTGTGGTGTTGCTATGATGGCTATTCTAACAGGGGTGAGGTGGAATCTTAGTGTGGTTTTAATTTGCATTTCCTTTATTGCTAGAGATGGTGAGCATTTTTTCATGTGTTTTTTGGCCATTTGAATTTCTTCTTTTGAGAAAGTTCTGTTTAGTTCACTTGCCCATTTCTTTATTGGTTCATTAGTTTTGGGAGAATTTAGTTTTTTAAGTTCCCTATATATTCTGGTTATCAGTCCTTTGTCTGATGTGTAGCTGGCAAATATTTTCTCCCACTCTGTGGGTGTTCTCTTCAGTTTAGAGACCATTTCTTTTGATGAACAGAAGCTTTTTAGTTTTATGAGGTCCCATTTATCTATGCTATCTCTTAGTTGCTGTGCTGCTGGGGTTTCTTGAGAAAGTTCTTACCTATACCTACTAACTCCAGAGTATTTCCTACTCTTTCCTGTATCAACTTTAGAGTTTGTGGTCTGATATTAAGATCCTTGATCCATTTTGAGTTAATCTTGGTATAGGGTGATATACATGGATCTAGTTTCAGTTTTTTGCAGACTGCTAACCAGTTTTCCCAGCAGTTTTTGTTGAAGAGGCTGCTATTTTCCATCGTATATTTTTAGCTCCTTTGTCAAAGACAAGTTGGTTAAAGTTGTGTGGCTTCATATCTGGGTCCTCTATTCTGTTCCACTGGTCTTCATGTCTGTTTTTGTGCCAGTACCATGCTGTTTTTATTGTTATTGCTTTGTAATATAGTTTGAAGTCAGGTATTGTGATACCTCCAGCATTGTTCTTTTGACTGAGTATTGCCTTGGCTATTCGTGGCCTCTTGTGTTTCCATATAAATTTAACAGTAGATTTTTCAATCTCTTTAATGAATGTCATTGGAATTTTGATGGGAATTGCATTAAACATGTAGATTACTTTTGGGAGTATAGACATTTTTACTATGTTGATTCTACCAATCCATGAGCATGGGAGATCTCTCCACTTTCTATAGTCTTCCTCAATCTCTTTCTTCAGAAGTTTATAGTTTTCCTTGCAGAGGTCGTTCACATACTTTGTTAGGTTTACACCTAGGTATTTGATTTTTTTTGAGGCTATTGTAAATGGAATTGTTTTCATATATTCTTTTTCAGTTTGTTCATTATTAGTGTATAGAAATGCTAATGATTTTTCTATGTTGATTTTATATCCTGCTACCTTGCTATAGCTATTGATGATGTCTAGAAGCTTCTGAGTAGAGTTTTTTGGGTCTTTAAGGTATAGGATCATGTCATCTGCAAATAGGGATATTTTGACAGTTTCTTTACCTATTTGTATTCCTTTTATTCCTTCTTCTTGCCTAATTGCTCTGGCTAGGAATTCCAGTACTATGTTGAATAGGAGTGGAGATAGTGGGCATCCTTGTCTGGTTCCTGATTTTAGAGGGAATGGTTTCAGTTTTTCTCCATTAAGTATAATGCTGGCTGTAGGTTTGTCATATATAGCTTTTATAATGTTGAGGTACTTTCCTTCTATTCCTAGTTTTCTTAGAGCTTTTATCATGAAATGGTGTTGGATCTTATCAAAGGCTTTTTCTGCATCTATTGAGATGATCAAGTGGTTTTTGTCTTTGCTTCTGTTAATGTGGTTTATTACGTTTATTGATTTTCGTATGTTGAACCACCCCTGCATCCCTGGGATGAAGCCTACTTGGTCGTGGTGAATAATCTTTTTGATGTGTTGTTGAATTCGGTTTGCCATTATTTTGTTGAGGATTTTTGCATCAATGTTCATTAAGGAGATTGGCCTATAGTTCTCCTTTTTGGAGGTGTCTTTGCCTGGTTTTGGGATAAGTGTAATACTGGCTTCATAAAATGTGTTTGGCAGTTTTCCTTCCCTTTCTATTTTGGAACAGTTTAAGGAGGGTTGGTATCAGTTCTTCTTTAAAGGTCTGATAGAATTCAGCAGAGAATCCATCAGGTCCTGGACTTTTCTTTTTGGGGAGACTCTTGATTGCTGCTTCAATTTCATTTTGTGTTATAGTCTATTCAGGTGATTAATTTCCTCTTGGTTCAGTTTTGGATGATCATATGTATCTAGAAATCTGTCCATTTCTTTAAGATTTTCAAATTTATTTGAATATAGGTTCTCAAAGTAGTCTCTGATGATTTCCTGGACTTCCATGGTGTTTGTTGTTATCTCCCCTTTTGCATTCCTGATTCTACTAATTTGGGTTTTTTCTCTCCTCATTTTAGTCAGGTTTGCCAGGGGTCTATCGATCTTGTTTATTTTTTCAAAGAACCAACTTTTTGTTTCATTAATTCTTTGTATGGTTTTTTTGGTTTCTATTTCATTGATTTCAGCTCTTATTTTTATTATTTCTCTCCTTCTATTTGTTTTGGGATTTGCTTGTTCTTGTTTTTCTAGGAGTTTGAGATGTATCATTAGGTCATTGATTTGGGATCTTTCAGTCTTTTTAATATATGCACTCATGGCTATAAACTTTCCTCTCAGGACTGCCTTAGCTGTGTCCCATAGGTTCCAGTAGGTTGTGTTTTCATTTTCATTGACTTCCAGGAACTTTTTAATTTCCTCTTTTATTTCATCAATGATCCATTTCATTAAGTAATGAGTTATTTAGTTTCCAGCTGTTTGCATGTTTTTTGTCTTTACTTTTGTTGTTGAGTTCTACTTTTACTGCATTGTGATCAGATAGTATGCATGGTATAATTTGTATTTTCTTATATTTGCTGAGACTTGCTTTGTGCCCTAGGATATGATCTATTTTGGAGAAGGTTCCATGGGCAGCTGAGAAGAATGTATATTGTGTAGAAGTTGGATGAAATGTTCTGTAGACATCAACTAGGTCCACTTGATCTATTGCATATTTTAGATCTTGGATTTCTTTATTGATTTTTTGTTTGGATGACCTATCTATTGATGATAATGTGGTGTTAAAGTCTTCCACAAACACTGTGTTGGAGTTAATAAATGCTTTTAGGTCCTTCAGGGTATGTTTGATGAAATTGGATGCATTGACATTGGGTGCATATAGGTTGATAA